GACCTCATCAGTGTTTACAAATATGTAAGGGGTGAGTGTCAGGGAGATGGAGTTAGGCTTTTCTCAGTGATGACCAGTGATAGGACAAGGGGTAATGGGTGCAAACTGGAGCATAGGAGGTTCAAGGTGAATATCTGAAAACATTTGTTTACTGTGAGAGTGACAGAGGGAGGCTGTGGAGTCTCCTTCATTGGAGACATTGAAACCCCCCTGGACATGTTCCTGTGTGATGTGCTCTGGGTGACCCTGCTCTGGGAGGGGGGTTGGACTAGATAATCTTTCCAGGTCCCTTCCAACCTCTGGGATTCTATGATCCCTGCACGCCACCAGTTCGGGCCCCCTCACTCTCCCTGTGTGCTTCTTGTCACCTGCCTGGTGCTCTTGTGTCTGGGAGAGGCCCTTGTCATGGGCATGTCCTGTTTCAGGTTCCCAGGGGCTTGTTCTGTTGCTGCTGTGGCTCAGGCAGTGCTGTAACACATAGAGGAGCCAGCCAGGGACCGTGCCCAGGTGTACTGCTGACAGGGGGGGCAAAAGGAGTCTCTGCCAGCTGGTTTGAGTTGAGAGCTCTTTGGGAGGGCAGTTATGGGTCCTGTTTTCCTCTCTCTCTGCTCCCAGCCAGCCCTCACTGCAGTTTCTGCAGCATCTGGTACTGGGTGCAGCCCCTGACTGGCAGTTGTGCCATTTCTCTCTATAGGACCTGGAATTATTTCCTGTGATTCTCATGAGCACAGATTCCTTAGCAGAAGGAAGGACAAAGCCTGCTGAGGCAGGGGGTTGGTAACTCCACTCAGCACTGACCCAAAGCTCTCTAACAGTGATGTCTGCTCCTGCTGCTTTGGAAGCTGGGCTTGGGTGAAGTGCATCAGAATGCCCATGCTCTTCAGTAAAGAGTTTGTGAGTTGCCATGTTCTATGTAGTGTAACACAGCACAGGTGTGGGATGGAAAAACTGGGTTTTCAGGTTGGGTGTGGTGATTTTGCTCTTATTTTGTCATAAATCCTCAGGAAGTTGGTAGGTGAAATCTGAGTTGGGTTCAATCTGTTTCTGCTGACTATAACAGGATGTTGTTGTTCTTGTAAATACTGCTTTGAAGCTTAACAGTTCAGTGGTTTCTAAGTGTTTGCATTTTCCCTGCTTGCTTCCATAGCTGACTTTGATGAATCAAAGCCCCCCAGTGTGGAACAGCTGGACACACTGAGGGAGTTTGCTGGAATTGCTGCTGGAGCCTCAGCTCCCGAGAGCCTGGCTACTCTTGCCTTTCTTTATCTGTGCCTGGCTATTTCAGCTAAGTATGGGTAAGGCAATCTTCCTGCCCCAACACAAACATGCTCTGGGGAGTGCTGGTCACCAGGAATTGCTGCTACAAGGTCACGGGGAGGAACCAGATCTGAGGCAAAATAAGAAATCACACAGAATGTTACCAAGCACCTTGGGAGACACCTCAGAGCTGAGCTGGGTGGTGGGTGGGGTGCCCAGGCAGGTGGGCTGGAATCATCTGCTGTGTTTAGACATCAAGCTCTGAGAAGCTTGAGTCAGAACAGTTCATGCCACCCTTCCTGCACCACCAACAGCAGCAGAGACATCAGGCAGCTCATTTCATGCTAGAAACTGCTACAGGAATGAGCTGTGAGTTTGTTGTCTGAGCTGAGTCTGATCCCCCCCCGTGGGCTGAATCTCCCTAAAAACAGGAGAACTTGGGGTAGCTGCAGCTCTGGGCTGATCCAGTTTCTGAACTTGACCAACTCTGTTGGTGGTACTGACTCACTGGGTGGGTGCTCAGGGCAGTGTCTGGGACAGCAGCACTTGCTATTTTAAACCAAGTCAGAACCTGACATCAGTATTCATTGCAAAGGAATAAAGGTTAAAGAGTGGTGATGTGTAGCTGCATCCTGCTCTGCTGCTCAGCGTCCAGGTTGTTGGGTCATAGCCCTGTCACCAGCCTGCTCTGGAGCCATCAGTTCATAGTTCACATCACTCACCAGACAGTGAAAAGCTCCTGAGTTTGGTGTTGGGATCTGTAACACAAACTGGATGTGCTCAGAGGAGCCGAGGGTGGTGTGGGCACAGATCTGTGTGCGTTTCACCTTCCCCATCAGCTTGTGACTCCTTTTGGATGTAACTGCAGTTACAGGCTTGGGATATAAAGACTTTCTTTAGAAATATGTTTAAAATTGTGCTTACAACAGTCTTGAAGGGTCTCTTTGTGGTGCTACTCAAGGATTCAGTTACTAAGTGCCCCTGCTAGCAGCTTGAGGAGCTGTGCTAATTAATCACAGACCCAGCTGAGGCTTGGTTCTCTTTCCATGGCTCAGGAAGCTGCTCAGCTGTGCTGAGGAGCCCTCCCAGATCCAGCCTGTGTTAGACACACGTGCTGACATTCTGGTTCTCACCCAGCTTTACCTGCCATCGCTCCTAATTGGCATCTTTTTCCCTTTGAAACGTTGTCCGAGGTGGTCGCCTTACATCTTTTCCTGTCTGTGTTGCAGAGATGTGCCCAGCGTGGAGGTGCTGGTGTGGTCGGAGCTGCCCACGGGAGCGGGGCTGGGCTCCAGCGCCGCCTACGCCGTCTGCCTGGCCGCGGCGCTGCTGGCGGCCTGCGGGGCCATCTCCTGCCCGCTGGAGGAGGGACAGCCCGCGGCCAGGTAACGCTCCGGGGAAGCCTCCCTGCTTTGGATCCTCTCTCTGCTCCGCTTTCCTTTCACTCGCACCTTCTGGCGCCTCTCGTGGTCTCTCTGGCCCCTCCCCTGGGCTGTGGTACCAGCGGTGGAGCCTTCAGCCTCACTCCTCCTGTTGCTGCCCAGTGTTCCCAACAGCAGAGACCTGCTCTGTCCCAGGGCTCTGACCTGTGAGTCATGTTTACAATTTGCTTCTCCTGATAAAGCAACTGGAGGCAGAGACTTGGTAAAAATGGCACAGTTTCCCTTGTCTAGTGCAAGATACACACACTGAAAATAAAAACCACACAAGAGAAACCTCTTTGTTTTGCAAGTGAATAAAACACACACTTAAATGTCATAGATTTTTTTTAACCTCTTTTCCTCACTGAGCATCTTCCAGGTTTTCCTTTGAGTCCTCAGGAATCGAGGATCCTTTCCAGTTTTTCTGTCATTTTTTGTCTAGTTTTTCTAGTCATTTAGCCTGATTATTTTTTTTTCCTGCACATGGCACATTTCCTTCTGATCTCCAGCCTGAGTTTTCACTTTATCGGTGTCTGGTGAAAGTTTCTTTCCTCCTGCCCTTGGGAGTTCAGTCTTGGAATCCTGGCCTGCTCTGCTGTGTCTCTGTGTCTAAGGAGGCAGCTGGAGCAGCAGAACCCTCCGTGGTGAGCCTGGATCCTTTGGTGCTTGGCTTCTGTAGCCTCTGTGTGTGACTGAGGCAGCAGGATGGGGTGGCTGGTTCTGCTGCAGAGCCAGAGCTTGCAGCCTGACCCAGAAACACCTTCCTAGAGCAGAGCAGTTTGTGCAGGGGGCTCAGGCACATCTCCCAGGCAGTCACACAGTGTGAGGCATGAAAGGCTGGTTCCAGCCCAGGCACTGAGGATGTCTTCATTCCCTCCTCACACAGCTTAGCTGCAGCTTCAATACAGTGTAATTTTTTTCTTCCAGCTGGCACGCAGAGGGGTGAGTGAGAGATGGGGGTGTCAGACTTCAGAAGGTTTTTGCTTAACATCACAAGAAAAGAACAGCATGATTTATGGTAGGGAAGAATCCCAGCCTCTCAGAGAGGATTAGAAACAAGTGGTTTACAGCAAACTGGGCTTCTATTTTGAGTAGCGGCGGTGTGAGCTGTGTTCCTGAGTGCTTCATGGATTAAATATTGGCAAGGGAAATGAAAGGTGTGTGGGGATGGATGAAGACATTCAGCAGAGGCCCAGGGAAGTGTGGAGTTAAAGGGAGTGGCTTCCAGACAGCCAGTGGCTTTCAACATTCCTGCCTTGCCTTCCCAGCCATCACTGGTCTAGTTATTTCATGTAAGACTGTGTGATGCTTATCGAAGATCCTTGTTTGTGCCTTTCCTCCATCATGTATTACTTGTTCTGGCCCCATGTTCTAAAAACCTGTTGAAGGCACATTCCAGGGGGGTCAGAGGTGGGTGTTTGTGTGCCTGTGTGAATCTGAGTGTGTTGCAGCAGAAGGGCTGGGGGCTCCCTGTGGGCATCAGGCTTCCCTTAGGGTGCCTGAGTTTAGGACAGTCCTTCAGCCTGGAGAGTGGGTGGATTTGAAATTGTCTGGTGAGTTCTGGGAGTGGGTGTGTGGGAATATGTTTTTTAAATAAACATTTCTGGGAACAGGCCCAGAGCAGTGGGCTTGTGAGAGGCACTGGAGGAGAAATCCCTGTGGTGGAGAGAGATGTGGTGAAAGTTGCAGCTGGCAGTTCCTCTGTGACTGGCAGCTCCACGGCTGCTTTTTGAATTGCTACAGCCCATTAATTAGTATGTTCAGTCAGGGGCCTCGATCCTTGCTGGGTCTGACCCAGCACCAGACTCTGTGCCAGTGTTTAAACTCTCAAAGCACTTACTAGTTTGTATGACTGCTTTTAAGACAACAGAAAGACCTGGTTTTGTGGTTTTAGCATAACACCTTCTGGGCCTACGTTTGGTTCCTTTCTGTGCACCCAGTGTTGGCTTGAAGTGTTAGGAGTTAATCCCTAAAAATCAAAGTCTTTGCTGGAGATAGTAAATCAGTTCTAATTGCACCTTTTGGCCCAGTTTGTGAGGCTTCTGCAGCTGAGCAGCTGGGAATTAGAGGCTGGAGTCACACATGTGAAATGCAACTTTTGCTGTTTTCTCACACCGTGGTGAACAGGATCTCTGGCCAAGAGGTGTGGTAACAGCAGCCTCGGGGGGCGGGGGTGGGTCTGGACTTGTGCTCATTTAAATTTGGTCTTTGCTCAACCAGGCTGGGATCTGCTCCCTGAACCTGCTGTGCCCCTGGCGTGCAGCAGGAGCACTGTGGTCGTGCCCGTTGGACACTCTCTTGGAGTAACACCAGTTCCCTGGGGGGGCTTCTACGTGCTGCCAGTCGGGTGCTGTGGACAGTGATGTCCCCTCCCTGCTGGAACAGTGTGGGGTACAGAGGGGGATCCACAGCTCTGGTGCTTCCCACAGGAACTGCTGCCTTGTGTGGTTCCTGACGCTTTTCTGTCTCCTGTGGCTCCTCTGTCACTCAGCCTGTGCTGGTTTCAGTTGTGCATTGGATCATTTTCTTGCCTTTCAGGTGGACAGAAGAAGAGCTGACTTTGATTAACAGCTGGGCCTTCCAGGGGGAGCGGGTGATCCATGGCAATCCCTCGGGTGTGGATAATGCTGTTGGGACCTGGGGTACGTGTGTGTTTGCTGCTCCCTGGCACTGCCTGGGGGTGCTGAGGAAGGGCTGTTGGGGGTGGCAGGACAGCATGTCTCTGCTCTCTACAGCAGATTGTGCCCAAGCTGCAGGGTGGTTCTGAGCAGATGCCACAAGTTGCATTTCTGCAAACAATAGGGCTTTGTTGGGATGGCTGCAGGGAGGGATGGAGCAGGGTGCCTCACTGCACTAAGGTACAGCAGAGGGACCAGTAGCTCCCAAATTCAGGTCCCCATTTTGACCTGAGTGAAGGGAATCCTTCCCCATTTGTAAGCTGGGACTGGAGCCAGCTGGGCTGCTGGCCTGGCTGCATCAACACCAGAGATGTGCAGCCCCCAGGCAAGTGCCTGGGGCAGAGACCTTGTTGCAAATAACTGATATTTAAACATTCTGGGGTGAACAAAGAAACTTAATCCTGTCCCAGGGATAATGCAGTAGAAAATGCAGTTGGACAGCTGTCATTTAGTTTCAATTAGCAGAGACTTCCAAGTGTTTTGGAAGTGTCCTTGGAGACTTTTAATAATCTTTCTAATGAGACCTAATGGCAAAGCCTGTGTAAAAGTAGGAGCCAAGTGAGACATTCCTTCTGGACAATGAAACTCCATGCTGAAGGACAGCTGCTGACATGAATGCACATGTTCAGTCCAGTTTGAAACCTTTGTGCTTGCTCTGCCCCAGGGAATCGCTGCTTGATTTTTTTTCTTTTTTCAGTAAAGAATTAATGCTGCCCAAACTCTTTGCCTTTTAAAACATATTTCATGTGATCCCCAAGTAGAGGAGAGCGAAGGGAAAGGCACTGGGTTAACGACGTCTGGCCAGAGCCTCTCATTAAGTCAGCAGGGTTAGGCAGATTCATGCTGTCTGGGAACATGGTTCATTTAGCTGGTGTTTCTTGCAATTACTGTCATATGCTCTGGGTGAGGTTCTAAAGATGAAAGACCTGCTGCCTCTTACCACACCGTTATCTCTGCTCACTGTGGGCTGAGACAATGCATGGGTTTTGCTTTAGGTGGAGCCCTGAGATATCAATCAGGAAAAATCACACCATTAAAGAGGTAATATTTGAGTTTAAAAATAACACTGGGGTAGGGTGGGTGGAATGTGTCAAAGGGGCCTTGGGTGGGCCTGGCAGGGTGTGGGGTGGCTGGGAGGTGGCTGGCAGTGAGGCCAAGGGGCTGTGTAGCCAGATGTGGCTGTGGGTAGGGGTGGCTTGAGGCTTGTCTTGGGTTCGGGTGGATGGGAACAATGAAATGTTTGGTCATTATCTGACATTAAATGAACACAGCACAAAGGATCAATATTAATTTCATGGCATTATGGGCAGCAGGA